AAGAGCCATACTAGAGTCACAGAGTCACCTTTTTCAAGACTGCAGGGGCAGCAAAGGGATCTGACACTGAACGTCTTTCATCAACGGAAGTGAAATCAGGAACGGGCAAGGGAGTGCAGATCAACTATAGACCAAGAGTCCCTGTTACACTGTCATACTTCTGCCTTCTGTCGTCCTCTCTGTCCCTGCCACTGTTGCTTCCTGGTCAGCCACAAGATCAGGTGCAGAGGGGACAAGGCTTACATTACACAAGACAGAAGCCCCTCCTGCTGTACCTCCTGCTGGATTTGAAAAAGCAACCAGCCATGCTGGAATAGCCCATTTTGATAAGGAGCTGAACATGGCCTCCACTATACAGAGTATCACAAGGCGTGGGCAGCTGTGGACATCCAACTGAGGGAGGAGGCGCATCTCAGTGACACTCAGCTAGGACTGCAGCCAACAAACCCAAGCCCAATTCACTGACCCATAAAATAATGCTAAGCCAGGCAGTGTTGAGACACACCTTTAATCTGAGCATTTGGAAGGAGGAGGCAGGTGGATCTCTGTGAGTTAGAGGCCACCCTGGTGTACAGAGCAAGTTCCAGGACAGCCAGGACTACACGGAGAACCCTGTCTCAAAAGTAAAATAAATATGCTGTTACAAGATGCTCACTTTACCATGCAATGGTGGATGACTACTATAGGTCTCGAGCTTTTTTTTATTTTAAAACATTTTATTATAAAAGTAATACAAATAACAAATGAAACGTTGAGAGAAGACAAAGTTATCCATTCACTGCCCTGCCATCTTACTAGGATCACAACTGGTAACTTGATTGTCTACTCTTATACCTTGGTGTGTCATCTGCATCCACAACTATGTTCTAATGCTCTTGTGTCAATTTTTTCATTGTAGCATTTTCTCATGTACTATTCATGGATACCCGTCCACTGGCTTGAGGTGTGGGATGGTGTAGGCATTTGCAGGTTCCCACACTCTAAACATATCCTTGTATAAACCTGCATATAACTGCAATGTCTCTGGTAAAGTTCTAGGCTAACTACCCTATATTTGCAAGCAATATAGATTTTTCCACTTGAGAAGGTTTTATGCTGAAAGAAAGCTTATAGGTCGGGACAAGCTAAGCCAAGCCTGACTACCTCTGAGACAAAAGAAGAAAACAGGCCAATGCCCTCAAATCCAATCTTTCACGAATGAAATCAGCATCAAGACGGACAGATGTCATCTTCTGAGAGAAATATTCTGTAACGCAAAGGAAGAGGATCAGAATGCAGCTAGCAGAGAGCACATGCGAGAGCAAAACCAGACGGATATACAATAACTATCCCAATCAGGCTGACAAACGGAGAGGACGCATGTGCCAACTATGTATTAAAATGTTACCAACGTGGGGCTCTGATTAAAACTGTCACTGGCCTTTGCATGTCACCTCGGTTACTTGCTTAGATGCATGAGTTCACAGACGCTATGGAGAAATAAATTCTCCAGAGGACAGGAGAATCAAATTATTTTTTCTAAAATAGCTAGGAACGCACTGCTTTGCATAAGACAGGGGCAGTTTTCTGAGGGATAAAAACAGCCGTTTTTCCCTTGAAGTGGAAGCCGAGTGGCCATTTCTCCTCCACCAGTTTCCTGTCAGCTACTTCAAAACTGACCTGAGGGTCTGGCAGCATAAATCCATCTGTAAGCTTGTAATAGACTATTGTGGAATCCGACTCCACAATGGCCAAAGTAAAAGACATGGGCAGTTCTGGATCACCTTGCAGTAGTTTTCTAGATGCCTTCAAGATTTCCCTTATCCTGAAAATGAAGACAAAGTATGTTTGAGACTCACAGCCACCCAGTTAACGATAGATCACACAGTATAAATTCTTGAGGGGAAAGTAGGATACTGCAATTGATACTGCTGAGGCAATGTCTGAGCTCAAATATAAACATCTGAGGCTGTCTTCTCACATAGAACGCCCTAAGAAAGACTTACTCACTCAGATGAACTGTATCTGGAACCCACAAAATACAACGGTAGGAATGGTCTGTGCATCTAACTGGCTAAGGACTATAGATGCTAATTTTTCAGTTTCCCAACTTGAAAACTTGGTGGAACAAAGTGATGCTGGGGTCTACTATTTTAAATAGCTTGTAGGCTGCTGTCATGGACACACCTGTACTTATAGCCTGGGAGGCAGAGGGAGGAGGGCACAGAAAATTAGAGACAAGCCTGGGTTACATAGAGTTTTAGGCCAGCTGGGGCTTACACAGTGAGTCCCTGTCTCAAAATCCCTTAACTATAATGACCAGACTGTAATAAATATGTCCCCTTGTTTCCACATTCCATCTACAGCTACTACCATTGAATATGTCACTCCCCATTGGTCACTCTTTGGCCCAACTATTCACCTTCTGCCATGAGGTTCTTCCAGTTTTTATTAACTTGGGGCAGGCAAGGGGACACATCAATAAAGACAGGCTGCAGGGGGCATCTTTCCGTATGTGGACATTTCAAATATTTCTGGTTAGTCTTTCTACATATCAGAATTATTAGACTTAAGTAGCAACAGTCCTACTATTTTCGTTACATAATTTGACAATGAAAATCTAAGAGAAAAATAGAAAAAAACATTTAAAATTTTAGTTTGCTTGTCCTGGAAGATAATCCATCAGATCTAACTCCAGGCCTTCAAAATACTGTTACTAACTACAAGCTAAAACTCCTTATTACCTACTCAAGAAAGGCTGTCATCAAAAATTTGGTAAAAATGTAACATCCCCAAACACTTTCTAAAACAAGTAAATAAAAATAAAAAAGATTAGCTAGTTTATCATAAAGCAAATCAATTTCCAGTGGTTAAGAGCAGTTTCCAGATACTGGAGGCTGGAAGGTTTATTAGCATACTGACTTCTACACAGAATACACAAACGGTCCATGATTCTAAGTTCATGTCTGGTCAACATATTTGAGATTATACAACTGTAAAAGTCACCTACCGATTTTTTCCATTTAAATTATTTAATAACCTGATGGGGAAACCTTGTTAGCCAATTATCTTTTAAGATCCAAGTTAAGGCGTGGCTTTCTCAGACCGGGAGTAAAACAGGTAAACAGCCCAGGTATTCCTCTCTGTGATTCCTGTAGGGCACAGCTGAGTTTAGACTTTTCGTTCCTGTTTCATGAGTTTTCCCCTTATAATAAATAAAAATATAATTGTTTTATCCTGTTGCTAGCATGGTTATTTCCTGAATCGAGCTAATTTCTACAATAACCCTGTCCTTTAAGTTTTTTTTTTTTCTTCAAGTTAACAGGAGAACATACCACAGTCTTTTACATTAACATTCTCAAGATTTCTGCCATTTGTTTCTAAACATTATTCTTTGGTATCATTTCCTTGCTTAAAAACTAACTTACTCTCCCCTACACTTTTTGTTTAAATTGTTACACATACTGCTCTTTAAAATTATTCATTTTATCTTATGCGTGTAAGTGTACCCTATGTCTGTTCACCATATGTGTGCAATGCCCACAGAGGCCAGAAGAGGGTGCTGGATCATCTGGAACTACTGTTACTGCTGGCTAGCTGCCATGTGGGTGCTTGGAATCAACCTGGTCTTCTGTGAAAGCAACACTGCCCTTAGTCACTGTGCCATCTCTCTAGCCCCTCATCCTGTTTCTTACTATGCTATAAAGTTGGTGAATTAATGTTTACAGGAGTACAAAAGGAATTCAATTAAGATGATCTTTCCAACAAACAGTGCTCTAGATCGAAGACAGTGAACTCCTAAGTCCACATTAGATTATTTAAAGCTGAAATAAAGTCATGTAAGGGTCATGTAGCCACAGAGTGTAAGTACTGTTAACTGCCAGCTTTCCTACTTATGGAAAACATGTGGTATTCACACTTGCCTCCATAGTTATTGCTAAAGTACATATTAACATTAATCTAAACTACACAGGTATGCTGGCTATCATAGGAACTATTCACTTTTTAAAGTAGCCTGAATCCAAGACCCTGACTTAGCTCTTAAAGGGATTCTACTTCTGTTGAATTGCATGACCGTGAGTCAGGGTCCAGAGAGATTCTCGTGAAGTCTCAGTGAGGACTTCGCTATTCTGCTCTATGGAAAGGGGCCATGCAATAAAAACCATCAATGGATTGAAAGTCTTTAGTGTAACTACTTTCCTTCTTAAATGAATATCTTGCATATCACCATAGAACCTTCATCTGGCGATGGATGGAGATAGAGACAGAGACCCACATTGGAGCACTGGACTGAGCTCCCAAGGTCCAAATGGGGAGCAGAAGGAGGGAGAACATGAGCAAGGAAGTCAGGACCATGAGGGGTGCGTCCACCCACTGAGACGGTGGGACTGATCTAATGGGAGATCACCAAGGCCAGTTGGACTGGGACTGATGGAGCATGTGATCAAACCAGACTCTCCGAATGTGGCCGATGGTGGAGGCTGATGGAGAAGCTGAGGACAATGGCGCTGGGTTTTGATTCTACTTCACGGACGGGCTTTGTGGGAGCCTAGTCTGTTTGGATGCTCACCTTCCTGGACCTGGGGTGAGTAGGGAGGACCTTGGACTTTCCATAGGGTAGGGAACCCTGACTGATCCTTGGACTGGAGAGGGGAGGGAAGTGGGAGGAGGGGAGGAGGTGGAAATTTTCAATAAAAAATAAATAAATTTCAAAAAAAAAAGAGTGACAAACCTGTACCTAAGTTGATAGCTATAGAAAAAGATAACATTTACAAGTTCTCTACTTTGAGTTAATATTTCCTACCAAGATGAGAATAAATAGACTAAGTTAGCTAAATTTTTAGCCATAAACAGTTTTTTATTTTTAATAATAACATATTTTAGGTAGGAGGTAGTAGTACATACCTTTAAGCCCAGCACTCAGGAGGCAGAGGCAGATGAATCTCTATGAGTTCAAGGCCAGTCTGGTTTACAGAGTGAATTCCAGGACAGCCAGGGCTACATAGTGAGATCCTGTCACAATAAATATAAATAAATAAATAAATAAATAAATAAATAAATAAAATTTAACAGAAACTAGAAAAAAGGGAAATGTCTTCATTATTATAAATGGCAGGATCAGAACTGTTTAGCTAATGCAGTTAATAAAAGGTAGTTTTCCCTTTAATATAGAACAGTGCTAAGATTTCTGCTTTTGTTGAGAAAAACTAAGACCAACAGGAGTGGAAGAGCAGTGTTCCTAAGGAAGAAACTACAGTAAGATGACAGTCCTCCTTAAATGGATCCTTGGTTCAACATGGTCACACAAAATCCCCACATGTTTATATAAGCCTCTCGTACCAGTTTAAAGAGCTGTGATGCAGTTATTTCCTAATATAAAGCCTAGGACACGCCTCCAAAACCCTGCAATGGACAAGCTGAACATGAATTTCTCTCAGCATCCTTAACTGCAGAGTGTGATGAGAACAGGACACAGACAAAGAAGAAAAAACCTTGTTAAGACAGCTTTATACAATTTCTTTTCTTGAGGATATGATCCACTGTTTAAACTGAAGATTGGTGTGTGTGTGTGTGTGTGTGTGTGTGTATGCATATGTTCGTGTGAGTGTGTGCATGTTGTGTGTGTGTGTGTGTGCGCGCTTCTCCTAAGGTAAAGTGGTGAGCCATATGGGGATTTATATTTCACACTACAAATGAGGGTAGAAATTTCCACTTCAGTCACCACTGAATCTCAATTGATATTTGTTTTCAGATCTAAACAGCAAAGTATTTTCAGGCTTACCCCAAACACCTAAGGTTAGAGAATTAACTCAGAGCTGTAAAGGAGGTTTTGTTTTCAGAGCTGAGGGAACTTACTGCCCAAATTAAATGGAAGTTCCCATTTCTGAGCTTGTTTATCCCTCTTGGTGGCATGTGTGGGAAAATTACCAGTGCATCTTCACAGCAGACGGACAAAATGCTACCTAGCTGCTACCCGACCACATGTGGGCAAGCTTACAAAGTTCCTTGTTCAAAATCTTGTCTAGTCTATTCTGAACATGTGTTTACTTAGGGCGTCATCTTCCTAGTCAAGACTTTGTTTCTTTTACAGTATACTGTATAAACTCACAAATATATTTAAGCCAACCAACCATGCTACCTTAGTCTAGTTTAAAAAAAAAAACTATGGATAACAAAAGAGACTCTGGAGTTCTACTTTAAAATCACATGTGACTGTTAAGACACACAGAAGGGCAACTTACTTAATCTTCAGTAATGCGAAACCTCATTTGGAAACAGAGAACTCTCCATGTGAGCATGCTCTCTACACTAACAAGGATTTCTCCATGTGGGCATGCTCTCTACACTAACAAGGATTTCTCCATGTGGGCATGCTCTCTACACTAACAAGGATTTATTTTTTTCGACTCAATGAAATCTCAGGGAAAAAATCTCAACTAAGTCCAGTAGAATTTTGCACAGAAAGTTGCTGGCCATGGCCTATTTTGATTGGTAGATTTTAATGACTGTTATTATTTACTTAGAGGTTAGATATGTCTATTTAAATTGCTTATCTGATTTTGATTTAACTTTGGTAAGTGGTATCTATCAAGAAAATTATCCATTTCTTCTAGATTTTCCAATTTTATTGAGTATGGGTTTATAAAGTATAATCATTCTTTGGATTTTCTAGGTATCTGTTGTTATATCCCCCTTTTGTTTCTTATTTTGTTCATTTGGATATTCTCTCTTTGCCTTTTTATTAGTTTAGATAATGGTTTTCCTATTTTTGTTTATTTATTAAAGAACCAACTCTTTCTTTCATTGCAAAAAAAGAATAGGGTATATCAATAATAATCATAGCTGTTGGTTCTCAGTAACAACATTTGATGCTGATGGCAACTTCCCCTTTTCATAATTCTTCACAGATGACTGCTATATGATAAAAAGGGGGTTGATTTTTAATAAATTGATATAACTAATTTGACAACCAGACTAAATCAAGACAAAGTCAAAATTGTTTGGGTAATGTCCCTATATCAAGTTATTTAAACCATTTTCATAAATCTTAAATTTTATTTTTCTCTAATGATCCTAAAAACAGAGCCTGAAATCTTTAGAAATTTGCAGTGAGAACAAGAAGCTGAGAAAAATAATATTTTCAACTAAAACATGTTGAACTAAAATGAACCATGAACTAAAGATCATATTAACTTTTATATACAGGAGCGTCTCCTGCTGCTCTCGCTGTGGCTAAGCAGGGATGGATGTGCTGTAGCCCTGGCTCCCAGAAGGCACCGATTGCTCCATTAGCCTCATCCTGCTATACAGAACGGTACCTCATAATGTGGATCTGGGGCAGCTCAGAAGTCACTTGGAAGCAGAAACAGCAAGAAAGCTGTGTTCTTCCATGGGCTCAGTCCTCAAGAAAAGCTCCAGGGAGAACAGGCCACAGCTTTGGGAATCAGGCCAACACTTCCCAATTTATAAAAACAAAAAAAACAAGGCAGCTAAACTCACAACAGAGCTGCTGAAGAATCAAGTGCCTGTGTGGCTTCTCACCTCACTGGGAAGTCATTTTGGTGAGGGAGAGAGGGAGACAGAGAGAGGTGGGAGCTTACCCTTTTCTTAGGGTAAGGGAAGAAAATGAGTCAATTGAAAAAAGTTGTCAGGACTGGGTTTCATCAGCAAACAGTGGCTCCCACAGAGGTGGCATGAGGACATGTGTCCTGATTACCAAGGGAGCCAAACAGTACAAGTCATTTTATCAGGTACTAGACTTAGGCCTCAAATAAGAGTGGCTGCTGAATAAACTTGTAAAAAAAGCCACGCTTTCAGAAAGGAGTGTTTTTAAAGTACCAAGTCATTATTCAAAAAGACAATGTGGCATTTAAGTATTAAATCCCAGCCAGATGAGGGGGTGCATGTCTACAAGCCCAGTACTCAGGAGATAAGGCAGGAGGACCATCATGTGGCCAGCCTGGGCTACAAAGTGAATACCAGGCTACAGAGCAAGACCTGTCTTGAGAAAAAAAAAAATTAAATCAAATACCCAACAATTAAGTAGAAATGATATAAAGAAACTTGGTTTTTCTTATCGTTTATTTCATAAGACAACACAAGGGGACAGAGGCTGAGGGCACGGTGCATACGGGTGAAAAGAACACAGTGAAAGGTGAGGTGAGCATTGGTGGAACTGTCTCATCGGCCTGGTGACTGTTCTGGGGAGGACACCGCAGTTACAGCGGAAAGAAAGATGGGAACTGGTGAGTCTCTGCAAATTAACAGCAGAGCTCAGACTTTCTCTCTCGCTTAAACTCTTGGAAGGACATATGGTTAACAAATATCCTTATATTTTTTAGTATATTACCTATCAAGTCTCTGCCTCAGGAACCTAGTCAATCTACAAATTAACACTGAGTTCTGTGCACCGACACCAGGCTAGGCACAGGCTAGGCACAGGCTAGGCACAGGCTAGGCACAGGCTAGGCACTGGGGGCAAAGCAATGAACCAAGTGAAGCTCTGCTTCCATAGAACTTACTTGGTAGCGGAGAAACACTGACATAAGTAATCAAACAATACCAAACACACAGTATGTGCACTCAGAAAGTGCAGAAATGATGGCTCAGGCCACAGTGAGGAAGCTGTGGCACAGACGGTAAGAAACTGCCAGATGCATTCTAGGGAAAGAGAGTATTGGTGATCATTTGTCAAATATGAGGGATAGGAGGAAATACGTACATTCCTCTCTCTCCTCCTACACACACACACAGAGCCCACCTCACCCCCGTGTGTGTGAGATTCAGAATGAAAAAAATTGCTATTCCTAACCTGGGGAAATCACAAAAGGAGCAAATGTAGGGTGAATTCGACATTAAGACATCCAATCTTAATCCTAATTAGAGACGTCTTGTAGAACACAGTAGACACGTCAAGTAAAGAGATACATATATGACTTGAAGTTCATAGTGGAGGCTGAAGTGGAATTAGAAGGTATAAACTGGGAGCCATCAGCTGATGGGGGAAGCTTTGTTAACTAACCATCTTTAAGAGGTGGAACTGAGTTAAGGCGTGGCTTCCTGGAGCCCAAGAGAAAAAACTGGGGCATGGACCAGGTGCTCTCTCTCTGTGGTACTCTCGCGACACAGCTGAGCTTGAACTTCCTGTTCCTGTTTCGTGAGTTTTACCCTTATAATAAATAAAAATATAATTGTTTTATCTTTTAGCTGTTATTAGCCTGGTTATTTCCCGTATCGAGCGAATTTCTACAATCAGTATACTGACAACATATAAAACCACGGACCAGCGGAAGCTACTAGGGAGTGAGCGTGAAGAGAAAAAGCGCTGAGTCCCAGAGCTTTCCAACACCTAGAGACCAGAAACTCGGAAAGGTTCCGCAGAAGTGAGGAGGACGCAAAGGAGCACCGCACACCCTCAAGCTCCAAGGATGCTCCTGCACTAACAACCGCCTGCGCCCGCTGTATGGGGGTGGGAATGAGCACCGCCTACCGTTCCCGACGCTGTTTCCTATGGACGGGGTGGCAAACTCCTGCTGTAGCTTTCTCTTACCTCTCAATCCCTTCTCTAATTCCTTTCTCCCTTCAGTGGCACAGGGCTTCTCCTGGAGTATTGCTTCCCAGGATGGTTACTTTGGAGACCTTCTCTCTGTCTCCCCCCTCCCACTACACATCTCTCCCTTGCCCCACCCACATACACATATGAACTCCAACACAAAATACAGAGCACTCTCACTAGCTGTAGGCAGCCGCTGCCTCTGCCATTGCTAATCCCAGTCACAATAAACCCGTCATAACTTTCAGGCTTTCTTCAGCTCGATAATTTGCTTACACGATGACGTCTGCTAGAAACCTCCTTCTCCGGAGCCTCAATGTCTGTGCTTCTTTCAAATAAATGACTTGTGTTCCAGGGGGTGTTCCCAGACTCCCCCTTTCCTCCTAGACCTCTGAAGTCTTCCTCAGTGTCCTTGGCACTGAAGGGACTCCAGCCAGCCCAAGGGTGGCAAACAAGTCATGCCCTTCTCGCCCATTCCTTCTGCCTTGCTAAAAGCTGTTACATTACATTCCTAAAGCTAGCCACCAAGGTCTATTCCCTTATTTGGCCACTTCCTCCTCCTGAGGCTGACTACCTAGATCCAGTTATCAAAGTACTGAAGTCCAGCAATCAAAAGCGCCCCCCTCCTTAGGCCGCCCTAATTAACATGCCCAATTAAAATCAGATACTTCATCCTAATGTAGGGTTTCCCCTTTTACCTTTATAAACCATCATTTTCCTATGTGCCATGTCTGTCTCCTCTCTAGCTAGAGGCAGTCCTTTGTCCCTCCAGGACAAACATCGCTGCCCCCCTGTATCTTGTTCCCTTCCCCTTTTTCCTCATCCTCTATCTCCTGTCTTATTCCCTGCCCTCTGTCCCTGTGGGACAAACAAATCTCATTTTCCTGAGAACTTGGTCTTGGGTGTCCTAAATGATACCAATTCCTTACAGACACATCCCTCAGCACACTCAATCACACTGGGTATCATCGGTCCCTCAGCCCTGGACTCCGAGCATCTAGTAGCAAAGGTCTGTGATACTGTGTTCCCTTGGTCCCAGGCATCCAACAGAAAGGAATAAAAGCATGAGCAATCTGAAATCTTTCTCTCATCTTCTCCCTTAAACATCTTTCCATTTATCCTTTTGATAGCCTATAATTATATTCATACTTATTTATATTCACTGTATGTAATGGTTAAAGTATAATTATATACATTTTTAATATTCTTAACACTTTACTGTAAGAATAGTAAATAATATTTTAATTCTCCCTATACAGCACAGTGTTTTAAAATATCCGCTCTTCTCCCTGCAAATCCATTAATGCAACTGGCATACACATAAATAATTTATCCGTTTCTATTGTGTAGGAGACTGCTGTGATATCTCGCTGGGACAACACTAACAGCTGATAAAGTAGTGTAAGTAATCATGTCTCTTAAAGAAAAATTATCATTGACGGTCCTCAAAGGCTAAGTAGAGAAAAGAACTCTAACAAAGAAAAAAAGGACCAGAATTCAATGCAGGGAGAAAGAAAGTGCATCTTCTGAGAGCACTGTGGCTAACAGGATATGGTATGCCTACGTAAGTTAGGCAGACGAGGAAAACCAAGACTAGGATCCCTAAGTTTGGCTCCAAGAGTCTTCACTGCACAAGAGTCTTCACTGCACAGGAGTCTTCACTGCACAGGAGTCTTCACTGCACAGGAGTCTTCACTGCACAGGAGTCTTCACTGCACAGGAGTCTTCACTGCACAGGAGTCTTCACTGCACAGGAGTCTTCACTGCACAGGAGTCTTCACTGCACAGGAGTCTTCACTGCACAGGAGTCTTCACTGCACAGGAGTCTTCACTGCACAGGAGTCTTCACTGCACAGGAGTCTTCACTGCACAGGAGTCTTCACTGCACAGGAGTCTTCACTGCACAGGAGTCTTCACTGCACAGGAGTCTTCACTGCACAGGAGTCTTCACTGCACAGGAGTCTTCACTGCACAGGAGTCTTCACTGCACAGGAGTCTTCACTGCACAGGAGTCTTCACTGCACAGGAGTCTTCACTGCACAGGAGTCTTCACTGCACAGGAGTCTTCACTGCACAGGAGTCTTCACTGCACAAGAGTCTTCACTGCACAAGAGTCTTCACTGCACAGGAGTCTTCACTGCACAGGAGTCTCACTGCACAAGAGTCTTCACTGCATAAGAGTCTTCACTGCACAGGAGTCTTCACTGCACAGGAGTCTTCACTGCACAGGAGTCTTCACTGCACAGGAGTCTTCACTGCACAGGAGTCTTCACTGCACAGGAGTCTTCACTGCACAGGAGTCTTCACTGCACAGGAGTCTTCACTGCACAGGAGTCTTCACTGCACAGGAGTCTTCACTGCACAGGAGTCTTCACTGCACAGGAGTCTTCACTGCACAGGAGTCTTCACTGCACAGGAGTCTTCACTGCACAGGAGTCTTCACTGCACAGGAGTCTTCACTGCACAGGAGTCTTCACTGCACAGGAGTCTTCACTGCACAGGAGTCTTCACTGCACAGGAGTCTTCACTGCACAGGAGTCTTCACTGCACAGGAGTCTTCACTGCACAGGAGTCTTCACTGCACAGGAGTCTTCACTGCACAAGAGTCTTCACTGCACAAGAGTCTTCACTGCACAAGAGTCTTCACTGCACAAGAGTCTTGCCAAAGGAGCCTCACTGGCCTAAGATGAGCAGGCTTAGGCTTTTGGCTCTCTAGAGGTTACCTGGCAGGCAGTGTTGACATCGCTTCCTAATCTGCAGAGTGACATGAAGAGTCATGCCCAGAAAGAGGACGTCTGACATGATTTTCTCTCACCTGGAGGATGCCACTATTTGTGAGACCGGGAGGCTCCATCTTCACTTGATGGCTAACACTGAGAGTTTTGTAGTTTAGCCAGCTATTGTTAAGGACAAATAAGGACAACTTTACAACATCATGTGAAAAACAGCACTCCATAACTCTGTGGATTTTATGATCATGTAATAAAGGAACTTTTCTCAGATCATTTTAAGCACATATAACTACAGAAAGACTCCGGTGTGCCAGCTACGGTCCAAGTTTCAGCCCTTCTGGTATCTTACTGAAAAACTGAAATTGAAATTGAGAAAAAAATATATAAGGTCTATAAGGAGGAAACAAATCACCAGTAGTCAAAACACTGAAAACAAAACAAACAAAAAACAACCTTTTCTTTCTTCTTTCTGAGCCTTGCTGTAAGGTACTTACAATATTTCTCTTTTCTAGTCACCTGTACCCAACCCTTTCCCAAAGGCCTGAAACACTATAATCATGGCTTCAGTGTGACGAACCTCTGCTCATGATTCTCAGCAAAAACCAGGAGCAAAGTAGCTTTTCTATGGAAGAATGTATACTCTAACAACTGACCATGCTAAAATGCTTAGTTTTACTTTCCACCCAAAGAGAAGCCTTCGTTTTCAATATCGGCATTGAAAATGATAGAACAGGCCTCTAACTTATGCGGGAAGCCCTTGTTGTGTCATCGTTTTTTAAGTGTGTGTGTGTGTGTGTGTGTGTGTGTGTGTGTGCACGCGCCATATGTAGCCCTTTAAAATCGAGTCCCTCCAGAACCTCACTGTTTTGGCTAGGCAGGCTGGCTGGCCAGCAAGCTTTCAAGATCTGCCTGTTCTGCCCCTCAACATTGGAGTGACAGGCATATGGCTGGCTTTTTACACAGGTGCTAGGGTTTGAACTCAGATTCTTAGTCTTATAGAGAAAGCACTCTTACCCACAAAGCTACATGCCCAGTTTCATCTTCAAACCCATCAGCTCTGTGACCTCTGTGCAAATATACGGCCGTTACTTCACAGCATTACTTTGTCTGGGGGAAAGCATTTACCCCCACAGGCCTTTACCAAAGTGTTATGTTGATGCCTTAGAGTCCTCAAATTGATCTAAATAGAAAACAAGCTGAAGCTCCATGCATATGGACACACCATGTCAATGTGTGTCTAAAACTGTGACAAGCTAGTTTACCTACACTCATATAGACCCTCACCCATTCAAGTTCTCATACAACTTTGTAGGATAAAAGGGACAACTGGAGCAGGAAACCAACCAATCACTGAGCACCCTGACTCTGAACCCAGAATCAGTGAAAGAAACACACCCTGGAACTGAGACTTGGGCCAGGGAAAGAAATATAAAGTCAGACCCATCTCTGCCCCTGACCAAATAAACTAACCAATCCCTGAGCAGGGAAAAACTAACCGATTCCTCTTTTCCCTGGGAAAACTCTGCTCCTATGAAGCTCCTATATAAGCCTCTCTGCCTGTTCAGTTAGAGGATACCATTTATCCCCCCATGGCAGAGGCAGCCACTCTCCTGGACTCCTCCTTCCAATAAATCTCTTTCTCAAAAGAGTCTTGGGTGATGACCTTCATTAGCCAGAACAGAATAGAAGAACCTGGCTGTATTGGATGTCCCTTAGAGGACTGAGCTGAAAAACCTTGCTGAGACACTCCCCTAGGGGACCCGAGCAAGACAGAGCAGAACAGAAGAACCTTGCTAGGATGCTCCTTAAGGATCTGAACTGTCCTATTGTGGCTCTACCCCTCCAGAGTTGTCCTATTGTAGCTCTAAGTATATCTTGGCTTCCCGATAAGTCAGGATACCTCTGCAACTCTACAACTGCAGCACATTCCCATACACAACTTATAATGGAGTCTGCCTGTCTAGTGCCAGAAACTAAGAAAACAGAGCCACCAGGTCCAAAGTCTGGGAAAATAAGCAGGAAATGCAAGCAAAAGAGTCTAGAAATGCTGAGAAATGTAGCCAGATAAAGTGATATTAAGAACTGACATTAGGAGCCGGGCGATGGTGGTGCACACCTTTAATCCCAGCACTCGGGAGGCAGAGGCAGGTGGATCTCTGTGAGTTCGAGGCCAGCCTGGTCTACAAGAGCTAGTTCCAGGACAGGAACCAAAAAGCTACGGAGAAACCCTGTCTCGAAAATCCAAAA